ATGAGTCAGATCCGGAAGCAGCTCACGTAACTACAAGAGAGGCGAGGTAGCCGTAGAGCCAGGTCCCCATAGGAAGGGGAAATAGAGTTACAGGAATATGCCAAATCCCAGATATACCAAGATTTTCACCTTTTTAATATTTTTTTTCTGTATTGCTTGAATTTTCCAAAGGTGCCTGCATTATTTTTATAATCAGAAAAAAATTATAGCAAATTTCCTTTTTAAGAATATTATCTTTTAAAAAGAGAGAGATTGACAGAGATGTGACAGAGAGAGAGAAGTCAAGACCATCTTGGAGAGCCAGCCCAAGAGGAGGCAGAGGCTTGAGGTCCTGCAGAGCCATCACTGCTGTGCGTCCGGCTCTTTTATCCCAGGAGTCAGTGGCTTCTCTCTCTGTGCACTCACACCTCCAGCATCAGCCAACTTGAGATTTTGGAGAATGGAAGCTCTCAGCCCTTGAAAACTAATCTTTCTGTTCTAATATCTCAGGTCTCTAGGGCACGAAGCAGGACGGTGTTATTAAATTTGATTTTTAACACAAGGAAAAGTCAATTGCATTATTAATGGATTAGCTGCTGTCTCTTCTTAAAGTGCACTTGGGGTCTGGCATAATCTCATCAAATGAATGATTCATGTGTTTCCATGTGTCTCTAAAACGAGGTGGTGAAATGCTTACTAAGATTTTCCATTCAAGTTTTCAGCAGTCTATCTAACCTTTAGTTGTTATTCTTGCTGGTGGCTTTTATCTAAGGCGGATTGTGCCCCTTTAGCTCCATCTTCAGAATAGTATGGTAAAGCTGACTTGATAGCCTTTGCCCCATCCCAGGTCTTGCCAACGTTATGATTAACACTTCTAACATCTTGCTCCCGTGCCCTGCAATAGGGTGAACTCCACAGATCTCAGCAGACACTCTGTTAAATGCATTCGGAGGTTATCTCACTAGCAGGTTGCTGTTTATTACTCAATCCGTGGAAGAATTCAAGCAAGTCATGCTAATCTTATTATATAGCAAAATGTGTGGCCACCTTGAGTTCTGCAAAGGAAATATTATTTTCCAGAAAAGAGAGTCACAATTTGTCCCTAAATGCCTGACAGCGTCCCATGAGGTGGCCCCTGCCAACACCCTCTGCACATCTCTCCAGGGCATGCTCACCCCGGACCCAAACCCTGGACGTCTGGCGGAGTCCCAGACCCTGCCGTTACCTGGAGGAGGTGCGGGCGCTGAGGAGGCAGGCGTGGTTCCTGATTGGCCTCGAGGCCATGCGGGGTCTGGGGTGACCTGAAGCTGCCCCACCTACTTGTCATCCAGAAAGGAGGCCCCAAGACACAACCAGTTCTGTCACAGGGCTCTGCCTCTCAGAACAAAAGCATGCTGAATCTGATGGGTACACAGTCATGCATCAGTTAAGGACAGGGAGATGTTCGGAGAAATGCATCCGTTGTTAAGAGATTTTGTCGTTGTGCAAACATCAGAGTGCACTTGTACAAACCTAGGTGGTACAGCCCACTACACACCTAGGTTGTATGGCGTAGCTTATTGCTGCTAGGCTGAAAACCTGCCAGCATGTTACTGTACTGAATACTGAAGGCAACTGTATCATAACACAATGGTATTTGGTTATCTAAGCATATCTGAACATAGAAAGAGTACAGTTAAAATACTGCATTATAATCTCATGTGACCATCATTGTATACAGGGTCCATCATTGACTGAAACGTGGTTATGCAGCACATGACTGTTTTCTCAAATGCAGAGAAACTTCCATCTCCCACAATCTTTGACCTTCAGAAAATACAAACAAGACTTTTAGATTTGAGAAACTCATTCCAGGACTAAGCCATTGCATTTCTTTTTAGTGCACTGATTTAATTATGGCATGTACTTTTCTGTTCATATTTCTCAAGGCTATGGGAATATGGGGTAAATCATCCCAAACCAAATCAGTAATTGTTCTAATAAAAATAATTAGATAAGATAAAAAATAGATTAGATAACTTCAGTTGAACTTTACTCCGTGTTCCAGACACGTGGGGTAAGTGTGGTTCATCAGATGTTAGAAGCTGTCCCCAAATGCACAGACAGGTTAGCAACTTCAAAATAAGCCAAGCCTCATAACAATTTCCTGAGAAAATGGAGGAGGAAATTGGAAAATAATCTTTCTAAATTGTTTCAAAACATTTTAAAAGAAATTATGCTGAGAAAGAAAACATTCTTGTATATCCTATTAAAAGTGATTTCCACTTACCACTCCCAAAATAAGAAAACAATATAATCTTTAAATATTTTATATGTCTTTACAGAAATGTTTGTTGGCCATTTCACCTGAAAGAACTGAATACAAAAACCCCTAAGTCAAGTTTAAGGTTTAGCTGTTCATGTTTCATTGATTGCTTGTATTATTCATCTTATCAATTTATTTCTTTCAAAAGGGCAAAAACCACACTGCACATATTAAAATATTATCTATCTTCTATTGATCATGGAAAAATTTTATATTTGTGAATTTAGATCAAAAGTATTATGGTCAATGAGTAAGAAATTTGGATACTGAATTTTTCATTCATGACTTGCATTTGCAAGGTTAGTAGATTCCGAGCATTTGCCAAATAAACTTAAAAGGACCTCCTGAAGTTTGCAAGCTGTCTGGTCAATAGATCCCCTGAGCAAAATAGGGGGAAGAAAGACCTTGGCATCATAAAGAGCTGGCATGGAATTCAGGCTTTGCCATTTACTAAGTGACCTTGGACACAAGACACAATCTCGGTTTTCGTGTCAACCGCCTAATTCGCAGAAATGCAGATACGAAGGCTCATCACGTAGGGCTGTAGAGAGAATTAAATTAGAAAACGTACACAGTGCCCGATTCATAGTAGACTCTCAATGAAACTCATTTTTCTTTTCTGTCTTCTTTGATTAACTCAGAGTCAAAAGAGCTGCAGTAACTTCTAAGTCCCCCAGTCTGCTACCTACTTGGAGCAGACCACGTCATCTTTCTCTGGATTCCTCACTTACGAAAGCAGGGACTAACATTGGGCTTTCTTGCCATCCCAGCCATCTCAGATCTTGCAGAAGCAGAAAATTCATTCACTCAGCAAACACATTGTGGCCCCAGTGCGCCAGATCCCACTCTAGGGGGTGGGGGGCATATTATTAATAGTTTCCCAGGGCTGCTGCGACAAATTATCACAAAGCGAGTGGCTCAAAACAGCAGAAACCCACTTGCAGTTCTGGAGGCAAGAAGTTTGTGATCACGGGTTTGGCAGGGCCCTGTTCCCTCTGGGGTCTGTAGTGGGGTGGTGAGATGTCCCTGCCTCTTCCAGCTTCTGGTGGCCGATGGCAATTCTCGGTTTGTGGACGCATCACTCCAGTCTCCACCTCTGTCAGTGCACGGCCTTCTCCCTGTGTGTCTTCACACCGTCTTCCCTTTGCACATGTCTCTGTGTCCAGATTTGCCTCTTCCTATAAGGACACCAAGGGTCATTGAATGGGGGCCCATCTTAATCTAGTATGACCTCATCTTAATTTGATTATGTCTGCAAAGTCCTTATTTCCAAATGAAGTCACATTCACAGATACTGGGGGTTAGGACTTGGACAGCTTTTTGGAGACACAATTCATCCAACAATAAGAGAATACAGTGGTGACTGAGGCCCCCAACAGGGCTCAGCGAGACAGCTCAGAGAACAAGCAGGTAAGATTCAGGGCACAAAGGTTAGCAAGAGACCCTTGCCCCCGGTGCTTAGGAGGTGATATTTGCCACCAACTGCCAAAGGGGAAGGAAGTGACCTCCAAGATTGGCACAGCATGTTTTTTTTTTCCTTTTATCACCATCATCCTTATTAAAATAATACAATTTTAAAATTCAAGCGGACGATAGGACCCCCTTGCAGCCCCAGTATCACTCCCTATTGCTCATATTTTTCTCATTTTTTATTGAAATTAACTTTGCATACCATAACATTCACACTTTTAAACTGTGCAATTCAGTGGGTTTTTTTTTAGTATGTTACAAAGTTGTGCAACCTTCACCACAATCTGATTCCAAAACATTTCCATTGCCCCAAGAAGAAATTCTGTATCTATTAGCAGTCACTGGCCTCCCCCTGTCCTGCCAATCACTAATCTACTTTCTGTCTCTCTGGCTTTCCTGTTCTGGATATTTAATATAAATGGAATTGTACAATATATGACCTCTTGTGTCTAGTTCTTTTTATGTAGTGTAATGTTTTCAAGGTTGATCCATGATCATTCCTTTTTATAGCTAAATAATATTCCACTATACCACATTATATTTATGCATTCATCAATTGATGGGCATTTAGTAGTTTCCACTTTTAGCTGTCATGAATAATAATGCTATGAATATTCATGTGGCAGTGTTTCTGTGGACATAGGTTTTCAATTCTGGAGACTCTACACCTAGGTGTGGAACTGCTGGATCACATGGTAACTCTATGTTTAACGTTTGATTTGCTGCCAACCTGTTTTCCACAGCAGCTGCACCATTTTACAATCCTACAAATAATGAATGAGTGTTCCAATTTCCCCACATCCTTGCCAACACTTGTTATTATCTGTCTTTTTGATTAGCATCATCCTAGTCGGTTTGAAAGTGGTTTTGATTTACATTTCCCTGGTGACTAATGGTGCATCTTTTCAGGTGCTCATGGGGAATTTTGTATCTCCTTTGGAGAAATATCTATTCAAATCCTTTGCCCATTTTTTTTTTCCATTGTGGGCAGAGCATTTTTGTTCACACAGATTTTGAGCTCAGAAATAAAATTCAAAGAGGGAGACTTGGAAAGAAGCAAAGGGCTGACGACATTAGCAAGGGTTTTACCCGCAAATCACTCCCCTCCATCCTCTCTGTCCCTGGCCTTCTGGAAGTCAAGAGTCAGATGACAAGGACAGAGCCAAAGGTGAGCCCAGCACAGATGGAACCATGCCACGAAAGAAATAGACGTAGATAAAATATTATTTCCTCACGTGGAAAGCGATACCATCTGTTCATTTTAATTTGAAGCAAACAGGATACCACTTCCTCGTTGCCCGACCTTCTGGCCTGCGGTCCACCCTGGACCACACGGGAGGGGCCGGGGTCCTTCCCTGCCATCGCCAAGGCAGAATCAGCAGCCACGGTGGAGAAGTCTGCTACAAAATCACCTTGAAAAGCAAATTCCTGTGATGAAATACCTGAAAATAAGACCCACCCATAAAATGAGCCCTAGCAGGATTTCTAAGCATTTGCACAATATAAGCCCTACCCCCAAAATAAGACCTAGTGATGGGCGTGGCTGCACAGCGCATCTGCACAACCCATGCATTTCTTCGAAGAGTGGGAAAGAAGACGAGCAGCCCTCCTCATCTGCCCCATGAGAGCTCTAGTGCTCGACATGAGAGATTGGGGCCAATGGTTCTAAAGGAAATAGAGTCGCAAGAAATTTAGGATGGAATTCAGGGTTTGGAGAGTTATGATGATGTTCCAGAGGAAGACAACTTAACTATACTTGAATAAATGTAGATGATTGTACCATACTTAAATAACACATCCCTTGAAAATAAGCCCTAGGGTATCTTCTTGAGGAAAAATAAATATAAGACCCTGTCTTATTTTTGAGGAAACACAGTACTGCCCACCACTGTCCTAAGAAGAGACTCTTAATCCTATCACAGTGGCAGGAATTATGACAAATGCTGCAATTATGGTTCTGGCAGATTCACTATAACCCATGCACCTCCTGCCCCGCACCGGCCCCAGCAGCACCCCGGACTTACTTCTACAGGGCAATGATGTCTTGTTCTACTCGGTACTTTTCGAGGTCACTCAGACACTGTGTTGTGGGAAGTATGGATCTGAGGTCACAGATTTCCAGCTGGGACTGTCCCCGAAGGCAGACAGTAAAATGGGAAATTAAGCTTCGTGGCCTCCTCTGCTGTTCTGTGGCCGGTGGGGTAGAACAGTCTCTGACAAGGTGACGGGTGGATTTTTCACTCCCCGCCACACTGCTGGCCCTGGAGAGAAAAACATAATTTTCAATGTCGTCATCAAAAGCTTGGAGTTTAACCAGCTCCCCGTTGCTTTGACAGCAAAGAGCTGAGAAGGTCGACTATTTGAAACTTAACCATCTTCAAAAGGTCTTCAAACCCCATCCCAGGTCTGATAAGCTGAACGCCCTGCCGAGACTGGCGGGTAAAACGAGGCAGAAGTGGAGGTTCTGAGTGCGCACGCGCAGAGCCGAAGATGCCCCTGGCCCTGGGCGGAGACTGTGGCGTCCACACTGGCTGTGTTTGTTGCCACAGTGCTGAACCTCCCCCTTACCTGCTGCGGACACCTCTCTTCCCCGTCGATTTGTTTCCCAGCAGGCCTCATTTAGCACGGTCTCAATGTGATGATTAAAACACTCTTTTCCACGGGATGGCTACAAATCATCTAAATTTGTATTGTTTTAAGCCACTAAATTTGTGATAGTTTGTTGCAGCAGCCTTGGAAAACTAACATGAATTTGTGATAGAAATTCTGTGGTTAGCAGGCGACAGTGGGTTGGCCTGTCCTAGCACCCTGTGACGTTTCTAAGGATAGTTCCCTGCCTTTTCTAGCTTCTAGAGGCGGCCTGTGTCCCTTGGCTCTGGTCTGGTCCTTCATCTTCACAGCCGGCAGGGTGGAATCTTCCCATCTCTCTGTCTGCTTCTGTCATGACATCACCTTTGTCTTTTCCTAACCCTCCCGTCTCCCCTTTATAAGGACTCTTTTAACTTCGCCACCTCTGCAAGTCCTCGGCAACACATTCACGGGTCCCAGCGATTGGGAAGTGGACATCTTTGGGAGGACATTATTCAGTCTATCACTGTCTCCCAGGCCAGGACACTGGGGAATTTGGGAATATTTCCCTCTGCCAAATGTGGTTCCTGCCCAGGGAGAACACTGAGAAAGGACCACAGGATGAGTAAATGAGTAAGACTCAAGAGCTTTCAGAGGCCCTTAAGGAAATGAAGCCCCTGCCTATTTTTGCAGATCCAACCTTCTATGACCTAGCCGATAAGTTCGGCATGTAAGATGAAGGCTATTTTATTGTACTAACATGCATTTCTGCCAGAATAATCACCCAGATGAAAAATAATCAACACTTAATTCCTGCTTATTTTCTTAGAACAGGAATTTAATTGTAACTATAACCAAAATCATGTTCACTATCAGATAAACTTATTTTTAGAGGTTTTGTTTCAGTTTTTTGGGATAAAGTTCCAACAACCAGCTCCAACACTGCCCAGCTACCTCTGAAGAAGTCTCTATTCCAATGAAATAAGCCACAGTGTGATCCAGCAAAGTCTTCCTTTTGCTCCTAGTAAATCCTCCATTTCCAACTTCTTCTAGGACTTTAGCTGAGAATTAGAGCTGTGGAATTAACTGCTTCTTACGAATGCCTAGGATAAATTTATCTGCAGCTCTTGGTGCAATCATAGGGGTGAGGAGTCTGTGATTTAACAGATAGAGGTATTTGGGCACCTCTCTTACTAAAAACCACATTTTCATAAGAATTTTTGGAGAAAAATTCATAAGATGGTAACTTTAAAATAGAGTCCACAGGAAAAAAATAACAAGGGAGGCAAATCTGTTATAAAAGTGCACCCTTGAAATTAGGACTTCTGAGAAGATGCTCAAACCCAAACTGTATTTTTAAAAATATAAGTCAAGGGTAATCAGTGACGCTTCCATGTGTCGTATAGGATGTTTAGTAGATGTTTCAGGAAAAATCAAACTTTTTGAAAGAACTTGGAACTAAGATCTGAGTAGGTATTTCCTGGGTGATTGCTCTTTTCTACAAAATGGGAATATTTGATTTCTCCAAAGTTTGTGATCTAAGCTGCAGCTGGCTGAGACAGTATTCCTTCCCCCTGGAGCAGAACTTGCTCCTGTCTGTACTGGTGCATAATCACTGCATACAGGGGACTCACCTTTGTCAAGGGAGTGGAAGAAGGAAAGGGACTCATCCTCTCCCATCCCTCCCTCTCCTCTCCTCTGGCGTCTCCTGCTCCCAGCTTTTCCCAACCTCCTCCCCCGCTCCCAGCTGCCAGAGCTGGGGTCCACCTGCGCTGAGTGACTGGCTAAGGGCTGCCCTCCTAGGCAGCGCTGTGATTTCTTAAAACATCCTTACCGAGATATAATTCACGTACCATACAATTCACCCATTTAGAGTGTACAATTCAGCGGTTTTGGTATGCTCACAGATATGTGCAACCATCACCAATGTCAATTTTAGAACATTTTTATCACCTCTGAAAGGAACCCTGTGCTCCTTACTGTCGCCTGCCCACCCCTGCCCTACGCAACCGCTAATCTACTCTCCGTCTCAATTGATGCCCCTGTTCGGAATGGATCCTGCCATATATTGCCTTTTGAGTCTGGCTGCTTTCACTGGGTGTTTTCAAGGTTCATCTGCGTTGTGGCGTGCATTCGTGCTCCATTCCTTCTACGGCCGGATAACATTCCATATGGAGAGAATACATTTTGCTTATCCACTCATGTACATTTGGGTTGTTTCCACCTTCTGGCTGTTGCGAGTAATGCCGCTGTGGACATTCGAGTGCAGGCTTTTGCGTGGACGTGTGTTTTATTCCTCCTGGGGAAGCAGCATGATTTAACCACACACAGGTGCACAGCCCCCCGAAGAGGGTCCGGGAGGAGCTTCTAGGGGTGAACTCACAGGGTGTGCGGCCACTGGGGAGGAGGGGTCAAGGCAGAGACAGAGCCTTTTCTGGGCCTCTTCAGAGCCCACCAGTGCCCCGGGCACAGAGAGAGGGGTTCGAAAGCACAGGCTCAAATCCCACCTCGACCCCTGGCCAGCCACGCGTTTGAAGGCCAGTGGCTAAAACTTCCCAGCTCTCGGCTGCAATGTCTTTTTCTGCAAAACAGGACTAGTGATCAATGTGCTTTCTGGGGTTGTGGTATAATCAGAATGATATAACAGGGAGCCCTTAGCACCAAGCCTGGCATAGAGTAGTTCCTTCCTAAGTTTACTATAGGTTATTAATTAGGAAGATCTAAACTGCAGGTGGGAGAACATCTGGCTAAAATGGCGTGAATACTGGGGGGGGGGGGGTTGTTGATAAATGTCACCTACGGGAAGTCCAAAGGTGACCTGTCCAGGTCAGCAGCTCCAGAGCCTCAGGGCTGTGGTGGACCCATTGCCTTTTGTTTCTTCTCTTAATCTTGCCCTCGTGGAGGCAGGAAGGCTCCACACCTCGTGTCTTGCCTCAACCAGGCCTCAAAAGGCAGGATGGATGGAGCAGGAAGAGGCTCTTCTCTCACTTTCCCTCTACCCACTTCATCTGCTGACGTCCCCTCAGGATTGGAAACTACAGCCAACTCCAAGTTGCAAGGGACACAGGAGTAGTGGTGTCTGGTACTTACCTCTGTTGTGGGTGGTAGACTGGTAGCAAAAAAAAAAAAAAGTGGGAAAATATCTGTTGGTAGTGAGTCAATAGTGTTGCCATCTTGTTTTTTATTGTTATAATTCTGGCATGGAAATGCAACCATATACATTATAGCCTCTAAAATTTAGTATTCTGTCATCCCGTTCACTCCAGACAGCAGGCTTTATGGACTGTCATGGTTACACAAAAATCGTCTTTGTTTCATTGTATTTAACTCACATCAAATCTTTGTGCCATGGAAACCACAGAAAAGCACAGAGGAAAACCCAGACAGGCCACTGCAAACGTCTAGACAAATGGCACAGGGACCCGGGGACTCCAGTGTTCGGTATTGAAGCCCGCAGCTAGGGAAGGCAGTCTCTGAGGAGGCCTGGTTGAGGCCCCATGAGGGGAGGTTCCCACTCTGGTGACCGTGAATCTCAGCGGAGAACCAGGAGGGACCTCACAAGTCTCCTCCAAGTGCTTTGTTCTGCGTCGGACAAAGCTGAGGCTGGAGAAAGTAAATCAGACCCAAATATTTGCAAATGCAGCCAAGCCTGGGCCTGTCTGGGTCCCTTAAGGTCAGGTTATTGGCCTAGAACCTGCCACTTTGGGCTTCCAAAATAGCCAGCCACTTTGCCTCTTTGGAACCGAAGCCAATTGTGATTTGGGTTCACAGGGTGAATCCATTTTCATGGAGTCATCTATTTTAATATCACTCTAATTTTGCTTTGTTTCCAACACACTGAGCTCCTAAGAAAAGGCAGAGCGAAGGCCGTTGAGCCAGCCGAGAACAAATGACATCAGGTTTGCTCATCCGTCTTGGCAGCGTCCTAGCCTTTCCCCTCCAGGCAGTCCCACAAAAAAGGGCACAAAGGAAGCGCTAGATGCGGCCCTGGGTTAAGGCGAAAATAAACCCCACTCTCCGAGAGCAAACAGCCTCCAAAGCACAGCGGCCAGTCACAGCACCGCTCTGTCCCCGCAGATTCCAGGGCTTCCTGTGGGGTCCTTCCCCCTAGAACCTATCACTAATGTTTTTCTACAGCTTAAGCGCAAGGCACAGACTGTATCATATTACATCAAAATCAGGAGAAATTCCAGAGGGTAAATGTCCTAAGATCATGCCTAAGGAAAATTCCTTAACCCCTCGTGCCTCAGTTTCCTCATCTGTAAAATGGGCGTAATAAAATAATACTCACCTCAAAGAGATGATTTAGGCCCTAAAGGAAGTATTTCTTTTTTTTTTTCTTTTTTAAGCCGCAGAACAGGGGTCCTCAAACTACAGCCTGCAGGCCACACGCGGCCTGCTGAGGACATTTATCCGGCCCGCCGGGTGTTTTTGCCACCGCTGCCTGTCCTGCTTAGCAGCCGACTGGTCCCGGGCCCACAGTGCGCATGTGTGGAATGTGCGCCGCACTCCCAACGGTCCGAGGACAGTGAACTGGCCCCCTGTTTAAACAGTTTGAGGACCCCCACCCCAGACCATTGTGGTTATTTCATGTAGCGTTCTCACCTTCCTCGGGGCTTTCCCCAGGGAAACTCCCTCGTTCTTATTAAAAGGGAAAACCTGCCCCGAGGGCTGGTTTAGCCTCTCCCTGTCC